CTCCCCCCGCCACACACAGCAGCTGCTCACCGGGCAGACAGCGGGCCCTGGGGCTAACCCGGTGGCCTGTGTGTGTGGCGCTAATCAGATTCCCAGAGCAAGATGCGAGAATCTTATATAAAAGAAAATCTTTCCTAAATTAGGCTTCAACAAAATTTGAAAACTTTGGTCTTCTAAACATACCCCCAGGGATGCCAGAAGGCGCATCGCGGGCAGGCCAGCCAGCAGGGTCCCACCTGGTGAGGGGCATCCACGCTGGAGCGCCCGCACGCTTGGAAGGGTGGACGGCCGATTCAAAGGCTGCACAGAGGGTAAGACGGGCTCCTGGCAGGAGGCATGCAGTGGCTTTCCAGCAGCCAAAGCAGCTCAGAGACTGCACAGCCCCAGATGCTGGGACTGGAGACTGCCCAACGGCCCGGTCACAAAGGCGGGGGCTCTGCTTGCCACCCTCGGTGGTTTCCTGACTTCCGGGTGCAGAGACAGAGCAAGGGAGGGTGCTGGGCAGGGACAGGCCACTGGGGCGGCCGGGCACAAGGAGCTCTGGGATGGGCTTGCGTGTGGCCATGGCCGGGGGAGGTCCCACAGTTATCACACCATGGGCTTCTACTCCGGGACACCTCCGTGTATGCCGCACCCCAGCAAGGCTGCAGGAGGGTGGTCATCTGCGCACCACCCCACTGCCGCCCTCTGGTTCGAGCTGCTCCCCTCCTGACTGCATCCAGCACAGGGGACGCGGGGGCTGAGCTGCAAGGAGGGGCAGCTGGCACAGCTCAGGCCTGCTGCATGCGGCGAGGGACAGGCCCAGGCCCGCACAGGTCCCGGGATCCTAGACAAGTGCTGTGGGCAAAGGATCCATTCCGGCCCACATCTGGCAGCGAAGCCAACGCCAACAAGGTGCGCAGGAGGGAGCCCTCTAGGGTTCTCTAACCGTGTCATTTCAAGCATGTTTTTAACAGTAAGTCTGTCACCTCCCTGACAGAGTGTGTGCACACGCGTGGGGGTTGGGGAGGAGACCCTCTTTAAGTCCTGGCCGTGCCTCGACCCCTCCCTCCATCTTCCAGCTGTCAGGTCACCTGGGCTTAGCCCGGCGGGTCTCAGGCTGACCAGGCAGGATCTGGGCTGCAGTGGCTGCATGGGACCTGGCTTCTCTGGAGCAGGGTGGTGATCTGCTGCATGGAGTGGCCCTAGCTCTGCTTCGAAATGGAATCCAATGCAGGACCCAAACTCCAGACTGGCCCCGCAGCCCAGGGACTCACAGTGTGGACACCGCGGCCTGTGCATACCCACGGTCCCTGCACGTATGGATACCACAGCCCGTGCGTACCCAGCAGACTGCTTGGCTTCTTCCTCGTTCTTCGCCGCCTCTTCCTGGCAGGCTTAATCCAGGGACTGTCTGTCTTCCCTTTCCTCTTGAGAAACTTCTTCTTGAGGCTGGACTCGGAACTCTGTAGAAGCCAAGGGGCAGGGACACAGGAAGCCAGGTGGGGGGGGCGCCCAAAGGTGCTTGTGAACAAAACAGACATGTCCTCCACCTGTCCCCGACTACGTCCTCCACCTGTCCCCGACTACGTCCCCCACCTGTCCCCGACTACGTCCCCCACCTGTCCCCGACTACGTCCCCCACCTGTCCCCGACTTTATATGAGACTATGTCCCCTACCTGTCCCCAACTATGTCCTCCACCTGGTTCCAACTATGCCCCCCACCTGTCCCCGACTACGTCCCCCACCTGTCCCCGACTACATCCTCCACCTGGTTCCAACTATGTTCTCTACCTGTCCCCGACTACGTCCCCTACCTGTTCCCGACTCTGTCCTCCACCTTGGTCTCAAACTGAAGGTTACCCTCTCTCCTGACGTCTCCTGGGGCACTGGTAAAGGTGCTTTTCTCTAAACGTCTAAGCCCAGTCCTTGCATAGGCCAGAAAGCCCAGAAGATTAGAATGGGATCTGTAAACCTTACGTGAGTCTGGCACAAAGGGAAAGACCAGCAAGTTCCACCCAGGAACGAGATAAATGAGCTCGGAAGAGAACCTGCCTTTACTCACGGACACCCACCCAATCTGCCCACAGCCAAAGGCATCATGAGCGCCATCTGCCTCAGACCCAGGCCTGGCCAGTCACCTGCCTGGGGACTGTGGAGTGGCAGCGGTGCACGGACACTGCTTCGAGTGTCTAAGTCCGCCCCTCACACGCAGGTGCAGAACGGGCATCTCACTGCCACGAGTTGCACATGCGGCATGTGCGCCCCAGCACCCTCCCGACACCCTGGGTGGCACCAACAGGACGGCGGTCTCTCAAGTCCTCTGCCCAGGACCCGGGATGTGCTCCACAGACAGGAAGACAGCCTGGCTGGCCACAGCTGTCCTCCCGGTGGGAAAAACAGCGGCTAACGGGCGCCCCCCCCCCAGCCCC